CCCCCCCCCCCGTTCCCTCCTGCCCTCCTCCTGTTCGTTCTGCACTTTGCTACTTTGGGGACCGGCTCCGAATGCAGCCACCATAGAAACCGCTCTGAGCATCTCTCCCTTCTACACACGATGGCAGGCAGCAGGTTGCCAAGGAATTCAGCCTCCGCGTCATGTTGTCGTTTGCTGCACACTTGAATTCTACAACAGAGCTACGAGGATGATCAAACCCAGGGAGAACAAGGCACAGATATCAATCAATCCCTAACTCACCTCTTGGCACGCAAGAAGGAAGGAAAGAAGGGAGGGAGGGAGGGAGGAAGGGAAGGAAAGGAAGGAGGAACAGGGAGAGAGAGGAAAAAGAAAGGGGAGATGGAAGGGAAGGAAGGAAGAAAAGAAAAAACGGAGGGAAGGGAGGGAAGAAAGGGAGAGGGAAGGGAAGGGAGGGAGGGAAGGAAGGGAAGGAAGGAGGAACGGAGAGAGAGGAAAAAGAGAGGGGGAGGGAAGGAAGGAAGGAAGGAAAGAAGAAAGGGAGGGAGGGAGGGAAGAAAGGGAGAGAGGAATAGAAGGGAGGGAGGGAAGAAAGAGAGGGAGGTGGAAAGGATGGAAGAGAGAGAGGAAGGGAAGAAAGGGAGAGAGGAAGGGAAGGAAGGAGGAACAGGGAGAGAGAGGAAAAAGACAGGGGGAGGGAAGGAAGGAAGAAAAGAAGGAAGGGAGAGAGGGAAGAAAGGGAGAGAGGAATAGAAGGGAGGGAGGGAAGAAAGGGAGAGAGGAAGGGAAGGAAGGAAGAACAGGGAGAGAGAGGAAAAAGAAGGGGGTGGAGGAAAGAAGGAAGGAAGGAGGGTGGGAAGAAAGGTTGATGGACTATAGTCCGGATTCCCAGAAGGGAAAGACTGTGTCCCATCAGAATAATTATCTCAGTGTAGATGGTTAGTGTGAGCTAAGAGGGCGAAGACAGCTCCTTCTCAGTAGTTCCCAGAAGAGAGGCTTCAATCTGGCAAGAGTCTGTCTTCAGGTGTGGAGCAAGAGAGCTGGCCTGCTGGGAAGAATCCCTACGTGCCTTGGGACATTCCAGCCCTGGCCCTTGGAGGCCGCCTCCTTTCCTCCTGCCAATCAACAGAGGCCCTAAATGAACCTCCTATCCCTCTTTGGCAGGAGAATCCCATAATGTTAAGGTCAGAATTTCAGGCGGCCTGAATTGTACCGCAGGGCCCCAAAGGGACGGCAGAAGGTCAGGCTGACCCTCGCGGCTCTTCCATAAGGAACCGGACGGAGGCAAATGCCCCCATCTATAGCAGGGGGCGGGGGGGGGGNCTGCTATTGCTATTGCTATGTAAGTCCACTCAGGGCAAGATGAAGGCTCAAAAGAGGGTCTCCCCCCCCCCAGTGCTCTGCACCCCACCCCCCCAGTGCTGAGCCTTTGCCGCAGGCCTAATGGAGCCCCCCCCCCCGTTTCTCTCTGTTGGGCAGGTGGGAGGCAGAGGGTGGCTCATTAATTGATTTGTCTTACAACCACATCCAAAAACAGAGGTTGGACTCAACCTCTCGTTCCAGGGTGAAATAAGTAAAGTCTCGCCAGAGACAGAAATTCACTGCGTGGATCAACCGGAGTTTAGGCCACAAAGATTCTGTACCTAAAAAGCCCCAAATGCAACCCGACTGGAAAAAAAATTGCTTGTGATAATTGCACACACACACACACACACAAACACACACACAGAGCAACCCCTTTGTGCAAAGCCAACCCAAAGCCTGGTTCAAAATCGATACGAAGGTCTCTTTAATAAGCTGCTCTGATAAACGGAGCTGAATGGTCTCTCCGAAAGGCTCCCAGTTGGCATATCTGGGCGGAGGGTCTGGCAGAGGCCGCCTTGCCCGACTGCCTGGCGATGCCTCCTGGGACGTCCTGGGAGCCTGTTTCATCCCCCTGGTCGTTTCTGCAGTTGCAACCTCCAAGCCAAAGCAGGGGCTGCCTGGGGAGGAGCCCGGGGAAGCCCCCAGGTCCCTCGGCTGCACCACAAAGGCTCCAGGAGGGCCCAGGGAAGCTCTCCGTCGTCCAGGCCCTGCTGGCCCCAAAGGCCAACTGGACTTCCTGCCTTCCCTTCGCTTCTCACCCATCAGACCTTCTTCCCTTCTGAAGTCGGAGCGGAAGAAGCTTCCTGGACGAGGAGCGAAAGGCCTTCAGAGGAAAACCAGAAGGTCGGCTTGACTTTAAAAACAAAGCTCCCTCTGAGGAGCTTTAAGGGCCCCGCCTTCCCCGAGGACCCTCGGTCTCCCTCTCAGCCCCCCCGTCCCTTGCAGTGGGGCAGGGAGCAGCACTTGGGCAGAATCTGGGCTCCCAGGAGAAGGGGGGGAGCCCAAGGCTCCTGCTGCCCAATTCCCATCTCCAGTTGGATCAACAGTCCCACTTCAAGCCCCAAGTACCTGCCTGGCCAAGGGCAACTCAACCTGGCCTTACCCTTTTCCGTGGGGTCTCTCGGGAGGGAAGATGGAAAGAGGGGGGCAGGGCGAGGGAGCCCCCGAATGCCTCTCCTCCACCAGCGTTGCCAGCGGTTGAGTCAGCAGGACTCTCCCTGACCATTTCTGCTACTGGTGCCAGCCTTGGGGGGCAAGTGGAAATCAAATTCAGACTTGCTGGGTGGCATCGGCCCCAGGATCCTCCAAGAAGGGGGGGGGCATTTTGAAAAGGGCTGCCAACCGTCGAGCCCCCCCACCAGGGAGATCCCTGGCTCCCTCGGCTGCCTTGGCACCTGCCATCTTGGCCTCTCTGCCCAGCAGCAATCACAACCTCCGGCTTGGGTGAAAAGTTGCCAGGCTCCCCGTCCTGCCTCTCAAAAGGGAGGGAAACGACGACAGGAGCCCCGGTTAAGCCAAGGCGGCTTGGCCCCCTCCCACCGGCCTTCACCAAGAAGAAGAGCTCGCTCAGCAGCTGACAGGGAGACGAGGAACCAGCGGAACGACTTGCCACCAGAAGTCGTGGGTGCTCCCATCACTGGAGGTTTTGAAGAAGAGACCGGCAGGCATTTCCCTGAATGATACAGGATCCCCTGCCATGTAGAAGGGGCTGGACTAGAAGACCTCAATTGGAACCCGACTATTCTGCTTCTGTGTTGTAACACAAGGTGCCCGCAAGGGAAGATGGACCAGAGAGAGGACCTGGGTGCCCCTGGAGATCGCTTCTCTTTTGCCCCTGGAAATGGGGCTCCCTTCAGTGGGAGGACCCCCTCATGCCCAGCCCAGCCCAGCGTCCTCCTGGCCCCGGCCAGTGGGGGGAAGGCCAAGCATGCAGCCCCCTCTGGAGTCTGAGCTGCGAAATGCCCCCCTGACTCCCCCTCCCCAAGGCGATGGCTTACCTTCGTGTGCAGCTTGGCGAACTGCTTGTCGTCCAACAGGGGCTGGGAATAGACGCGCCTCTTGTATCGGAACTGGAGAGGGAAGCAAAGGGAGGAAGGAGCATCGGTCAACCCGCCATCGATTGGGCCCTCCGCTCCCCTCTTCTTCTGGCCGTCTGCTCTTCTGCAGCTGCCAGAGATTTGGGCCTGCTGCCCGCTGACCCACGGATTCAATCAATCACACCGTCCCAGGCCAGCTGCAGACGTGGCCTGCAGCTCCCTCCATCCTGCCCCACTGCTGGCTCCCCCACGGACTTCCCCTTCTCAAGGCCATGGGAAGGTCAGGGCTGCAGCTGGTAAAGCACAGCTGATCAATAGGGCCGTTTTTAAGGACACGGGACTCCAAGCTGTGGTGCCCCTTTGGCCAAGGTGGGCAACTAGGGACCCTTTAAGACCCCTGGACTTCAACTCCCAGAATTCCTGAGCCAGAATTTCTCATTCCTCAGCCAGTCTGTCTGAATGTCTGTCTGTCTCTATCTCCATCCACCCATTCTCACCCCTCTCTCTCCCGCTTCCCCGCTCATCTCCCTCCCTCCCTCCATCTTCCATCTCTTTATCCTGTCATCATCATCATCACCATCATCATCATCTCTCCTCTCTCTCTCTACCTCAGAATTGCATGACAACAAGATAGCTAGAATATAAATTTAATAAACCAATAAAATAAACCTATCAACTATCTACCTGCCTATCATCCATTTCCTCCCTCCCTCCCTCCCTCC